TCTAAAAATTTCCCTTCCTAGTCCGCGGGCAAAAGAGATAAAGCGCTCACTGCAGAATTCAATGATGCGTAACTGCGATGATTCTCCTTTTTAACTCGGTCACGGTGAAACGGCGAAGCATTTTGTTGCCGAACGATGCAACGTTGAAAGCGCTTCGACGATCGCATTATCTCGTCTGTATGTAAACCGACGCGTGTTTACGGAACGGATCGTAAGTGGAGGAGGCCGACGCATAAATTTCAACGCGCGCCGCTCGACAGATCAATCATGACTATACACATATAGGCGTGTCAATGGTCAGACGAACACGTAAATCATGCGGGGAGTGCGCGCCGCAAAATGGTTTACGTCAATCCGTACCCGATAGTATCCGATTTGCTTAATCGCGAACGGATAGAGCGCATAGGGTGAATGCATCTTTTTGGGATATCAATCGCTTGCCGACGTACGGCATCCATCATTTGAAACGTGTGTGCTGTAATACATTCTTGTGGCATATGAAATTTATAAATGTATATCATTACGTGAATGTGTATAATATTCTATACTCTTAAGCTATAAATTAATTTATTAGCAAATTTATTAAATTCGACTCATTCCATTTCATTTCGTGTTTTTTTTTTGCAAAATATCTTTCTCCTGGAAAGATGATTATTTATTAATATTTTGACTGCCAAACTAATTTCGACAATAAATCTAATATGCTATTTTAATAATTTGTAGTTTTTTACGTCTCAATATAATTTATATTATTTCTTTAATATCTTAAATATTATACAATTAATAAAATCATTCTTATGTCTATTTCTTCCAATATAGATTAATTTTAATCTTAGCTTAACGTACTCTTCTTCATCTTTTTCGAATTATCCGAAATTAAAAAAAAAGATGAAAAATAAGCTAAATTGAGATTAAAGTTGATCTACATACAAATGAACATTAATCAAGTTATTAAAACCGTCACACTCTCTCTCTCTCTCTCTCTCTCTCTCTCTCTCTCTCTCTCATAAATAAATGACAGAACCTATGTTTCGACGAATTTTTTATGTGTCACTCAAATATAGATGACATGACAGTCAAAGTGTTAAAAAACAAATATATATTATAGATAATCAATTCTTGTTTAAACATCGTTCCTATACAATCAAAGATTCACGCGACTTAATTATGCCAATATTTTCGCGACCACGTTATGAGCAAATATTAATAGCAGTAATTTTATTGAAGTCTCATGTTAACTCGTGTCTCAGAATTCTCTTATTTATCTTATCACGAGATAACGTGGACGTTCTAAAATTGGGGATGTACCGTGAAAGGATCTCCGTACGCTTTGGATTACTTCGATTTTATCCGGAGCAACAATTTGTAGCCCCTCGATGGAAAAGTTTCCAATGTCACTCGATTTCCCAATACGTCACGGCAATCGTGACGGACAGAGAATCGAAGATAGAAATTGGAACTCCTCGCGCTCCTCGTGTCTTCGGTGACGAGATGTAAACAGACCGGTTTTTTGATGGTACTGATCCGTGCTCTGTCGTGTGCATTTCAACCGGTGCGCGGTTTGCGGTTTCCGTTTTTATTTAATCCCATCGTATTTTGCCGCAGAAACGTAACTCTCGGTCAAGTACGAATCGAGGCAGATACAGACTGTGAAATTGATATGTTCAATCTTGGAGAGAGACTCCGTCGGATTGTTCGTAGTCACTAGCTATGATTCAAACTATGATTCAAATGACCGCATCTTTGCATGCACAAAATATCAAAGGACAAAGTTGATAATTATATTATGAAAAAATTGTTTCCCCCAATTAGATTTATATCTGTTTATTTACTGAATTTGTATCTGTTTTTTACTGCGTTATCCAATTTATTAAAATTACATTATTATATTATATTATATTGTAATAAATGAAATAAATTATATTATATTATATTACTTGTCTCTTAATTGATTTTTACTCGAACATATTAATTCACTCCTGCTCCTCGATTCGCATACACATTGTGTAAAAATCTAATAATGATGTCATAAATATATTTAATCTCACAAGAATTTTCTTGCAGAATTTGCTAATCAATATCGACATAAAACAATTTCGCGAAACGAAATAGTCGCTTTTGTTTTCCGCAATTTCTGTAAAACGTCTTTCAAAGTTTATACGACTCGAAAAGCGAACCAATTTTTACCAATAGAATCTTAAGTCGTTTTGTTCGGAACTTAACAGATAACCATACATAGATATATATACATTGAAGAAAATCAATAATAACGTTTTCAACGTCTGTTTTCTTTCGACAGATCGTCGAAGTCAAAACGGACTTAAAAATTGGGATCGAGTCGAAAGCTTTACGCCGCACGGATGTCGCCCGCGGAACGAACTCTGACCTTTGATCGTCGTCACTGCCGAGCATTCGGAGCAATGCTTCACGTTCTGCTGATCAAAGGACCGCCGCTACCCTCGTCCGGTGCATTTGCATGCACACGTACATACATATGTCACGCGTGTATGCGGCGTGCCCCTCAGATGCAAAGTCGCTTGCCGACTGGTCGCCCCTTTTCGCAGCGTCCGCTTTGCGAACGAGGACACGGAGAGAGAATCGCCGTGCCGCTCCGACAAAGAGCATTTTTTACAATTGCACGTATCCGGTTTTTACTCTTAACTCTGCGACGGTCGCGTCCGTCGCGTGACCGATTTCTGTGACGAAATTTCCGAAACTTTAAACTCTCTATTCCGAGGAGAATCGATGTCCGCGAATTTTCACGCGAGGTTTAAAGTTATCGATTCGTCTGTTCATCACGCGATTAATGTCAATTCACAATGTTGGGATTGTTAATTTACATCTTGGACCATTGCTCTAATCAAACTTAAGTCACAAAGTATTTCCCATCCTGAATTAAAATGTAAAAGCAGTTGGCAATAGAACGTAAATGCTGAATTCAAATTAAATGTAAAGTTTTGATTGAATCTTAATATTTCAAAGCGTAATAAAGAAACAATTTTAGATGGAGTTAATAACGTAAAATTTCCGCTGAGAGAGCTGGAATATGAGAAAGACTCTGGGATAGAATTTACCCCGCGCTTGCCAGGGTTATGAGTTAATACCTCGTCCCGCATCCTAAAGTTTCCTCACTCACGGATATTCATCGTCAAGTTATAAAATATTTGATAAATCTGTGGGATTTATCTTTCTACCTGAAATATTTAGTTGTCAATTTTGATTTATGTGTAACCGAAAACTTCGTTCTGAAACGAGAAATTTCAAAGATAAATAGATAACCATATTCGTTCCATCAATTCATATCCAAGAATTCGAAATTTTTTTAAACACATAAAAACATATAATTGTGTTACCATTTTATAGAAATAAAAAAGTGTAATGTTATGAGAAATAGTATTAGTATTGTAATATTATTAAAAGATTAATATAACATTAATTTTTAGTATATCAATGCAAGTAATATATGTGATATTTGGTGTTTTAATATAATTATTTAGTTTCATTTTTAACTTATACAGCAGCAGTGAATCCAGGTAGAGAGAGATTATACCTATAAAACACGGAAAGTACCTCGTTTTGCTCTGTTATACGTAAGATCGTAAATCTGATTAGTTCCGCGCGCGGATTGACACGCGGTAGTAGATAAAGGGAATGAAAGTATAAAGCTTCACTTTACTACACGTCAGACAATCGGATCTATAGGGAAGGCTTTCGGCATTAAAAAACACACGGGGGATACTCCGTGGACATATATACGCGCCTTTCTCTCTGTCTCTCGTGTGCACTATCGATTCACCTCGCGGCCTTGTGCTTAATTGAATTAGTATCGGGCTAAAAAAGGGTGACCTTGAGTCAATTAACGGCGAGACAGAATAAGACGGAGTGGCGCTTCTCCACCACACTCGGCTCGGACAACACAAAAAGAGAAAGTTCCGCTTTAAGTCCGTGCGATTATTGTCCGTAATTATGGCCCACCCGGCGCCCATATTTCCCGACGTCCGTATACGCTAAGTAACGGCCATTAATGCAAGCACTGGCAGAAAGTCTCGACGAAAGTTTTTTTGATAGAAAAAATAACCTTAATTCTTGCCAGTATATTGCACGCGCCAAACATCTTTTTTTTTCTCTTCAAGCGGAAACGTATACAATCGATTCGCGCAATTTCTAACTCTGTTATCTCTGATGAAAAAAAATTTAATTTTCCAGTTTTAATTAAAAAATCTACAACCAGTACTGCGGACTGTAAATTTTTATCTGCGTGCACGCTACCGCTGTTATATTTTAATTTCTATTTTCTATAAATAGTAAACTTCTATTTTCACCAAGATATGCTATAATTGCTTAACCTCAAGGAAGTAGAAGTAACACGTTACTTGAAACGCCGTTATGTTTCAGAACACAAACGGGTAACGACATTGCATTTGTAACATTGATTGAAACACAGTTATATATTTTTGGATAACGAATGTAATCGGTTCTTCTATAACCGTTACTTTGCACGCGTACATTACATATATGTATATGTATATGAACGAGCACGAACAAGTTTAAAAAGAAGGGAGTTATATTTGAGCATGCTACAATTAACTATAATTCGCGTTGAATTGATCAATTAGCGACGTAGACCGCTGTAATAAAGGATCATCAAAATCAAATTTCAGTGAAAAAAAAACACTCGGGAATTGTAACGACTCTTTTTAAGTAACGGTAATAAGGTTCTTTTTTAAATCAGTAATGAATAACGATGACGAGCTATTTTTCAGAAAAAAAGAACGCTAATGTAACGAGATCGGGTTACTTTTAGAAGATAACTTTCCCAACCCTCCTCAACTCATTCACCGGGATATGTTCGCAGATGTGTTTACCCTACTTGGCAAATTTTTACGATTATGAAGGGAAATTCTGGGTGTATTTTGCGCGCGAGCAAGTCGAGCGGATCGAAGCGGAACTGAAGGGGTGTCAGCCGGGAGGGAAGGGGAGAGTATGCGATGATGCGTTACCAGCTTGCGGACGTGCTGGCGAACCGTCGGGCACGACGATCTTGATCTGCGACTTCGGCGTGCCCTCGCTCATGGTAGTTTCGACACGTCTTCGATTTTCCACCGACCGGGGGTGGGAAACACGAGGCCCCCTCTTCTAGCTGCCACCCAAAGCTCAGTGCCGTGCACGCTTTCCCGATGCCCGCGCGCAAGTTGCAGGATCCTTATCTCGATCTCGTTGCAGAATCCTCTTCCTGCAGGATGTCTCTCTTCGTCAATTTTTTTTTCCTTTGCTTGTACCGATTGCTTCGATAGGAGCTTTAAGTGAAACTGCACTTTTATGGGAATCTACGGCAGAAGATCGGGTGCTGCACGATGCGGATTTTTGTAAAATCTCGATCGATGTTTGCTGTGGATTTGCGATATTAAGATTATCTCTCGATGAAAAGCGATCGGAATTATTTGTCGATTTATCCTCTCGATTAGCCAGAAATGATTGAGATTGAAATCGCAGGATCGTCGGTGTGCGATCGGCGGGGGATCTAGATTCGGAGTCTATATTTTCGGGTGCCTCGCAATTGCAGAGATTTTACTGGTTGTTACGGTTGTTCCAATCCGAAACATGGAAGTCTCGGATCGCGGATAGATCGGTAAGCGCTCGATATCGATCCTGGTTTCCGAAATCCCGCGGAAACACTCTCAGATCGAGAAGAAAGGCGGAAACTGAGAAGCGGCCAGGGCGCTCCTCTCGCGCGACGTCTCGCCAAACTCCGCGCGCGACTTACTTTCCGCCTCGATCCCTCTTTCGTCGACCCTCTCGCGATCTGGGAGGAGCCGACGTGCGCCGCGCGACACACACGGGTGGCGAGAGATCGGCGTACGGCCGCGAGGCGGGCGCTCTCCTCTCAGTCTCTCTCAGCGCGGGTGCATCTCTTCCACCCTCCCCCCTCTTCTCTCGCAGGCGGTGTCACAAGGTCACGAGATCACTGGGTTCGGCTGGATTCACGCGCGCTGGCGTACGTACGTTCGATCGATCAGTCAGTCGGTCGGTCGCGGCTTCCTCCTCACCGACCGGGAAATATACTTTGCCGATCGACGATCCGCGGGATTTTTGCGCCGCGCACAAATGAAACACACGTACACAGGAGATACGCACGCGATCGAGTCACGTCTCTGGGGATTTTCTTCGAGACTCGATATTCAGTCGTTTAAAACGAGAGTCAACGGAGACCGTCACCGTGAATTGTGATCGTTATGCAGGACAGTCGATGCCGCAACGCGGATCCTGAGCGGCCAGGACGGCACCACGGGATGAGACCAGACGGCGCGCACCACAAGGGAAAGAGAGTACGGTAGCGCAGCGCGCGTCTGACTAGCGCGGAGCGTAGCTACTGCGCCGCGGCTGACTAGAGCGCGGACAGTCGCTACTGGGCTGAGCGCAGTGGTACAACCCGCGCGGTGTGTCGGACGTACTGGCTTTGCTTCCTTCTCCGGCGCGTTGCGGAGTCACGGGTCACCACCCTTGCGCGTCTCTTCCTGGACCAAATCTCCCTCCGTCCTCCCTCACTCGTCGCGCGTTTCCAACCTCATTCCTCCCCCTTTCCTCTCTCTTTCTCTCTCTCTCTCTTCCTCCTTCTCTTTCTCCTCACACGCTGATCGCTTCAACGTGCAACGATCGCCCCGATGCTGACTCTCGCACGACGGCGGCTTTCCCTCGCAGAAAACCTCGACTGCCGCGCGCGCGCTACTGCGAGGGGGTCGGTGACGACGACAAAGCATTCTCTCCCCGGCTTTTCCAGGGGTTCCTCTCCTTCTCCCCCCTGCGCCCTCCCCCTCGTCTCGCGCGCGCACGCTTTTACGCCCTCTCCTCTCGATGATCTTCCTCTCTTCCTCCTGTCTCTCCCCGCGGCCACGATGCGTTTCCTGTCTCGCTTCATCTCGGCGCGCGGCCCTCCCCCTCGCCCTCCCCCTCACGCGCCGGAGGACCGCGAGGTGTCCCGGGCGTAGTGAGCAGCTCTCACCCGCTTTTCCACCCTCGCACGGCGCCTGCGCGTCCCGGGGATGTTTCCTCCTCGCACACCCCGCGCGCGCTCTCCTTCTGCCTCCCTGACCATCCCGTCCTGCGGATGCCCTCTCGGTCTCTCTTCGGTCCACGCCACCCTCCCACGTCCCCACTCACCCCTCTCTCATCACGCTCGCCCCGCAAGCGCTCGCCTCCTCTCTCGCCTGTTACCCGCTTTTCTTCTCTTTCCCTCTTTTCTATTAGTCTCCGCTATCTTTATCGGCCGTCCTCTTCCTCCCCCGGCCGTGTTATCTCACCGGACCATACGCGCTCTCTTCGTTGTGAGGCTGCCCTTCCGGAGGGCACGAGGTTTTTCGGCCGGACACTTCACGACGGATCGAATTTGAATGCGTGCGCGAGAACGCGAAAGCGGGTCACGGTTTCGCCTCTCGAAAGAAAGAAAATGCGGTGGCCAGTGAAAGCCGAATGAGAGCCAGTTTTCGTCAGCGACCCGGTTATTCCGGGAAACGCGGAAAACTGGACTAAAAAAAAAAGAGAAACAACAACGCTCGCAATTTGTTCCTAAACTTCATTTTTAATTTAATTTCCACTTTTTCAGCACTCGCATAAATTCGCAAATCGCCGCGCGCGACAAATTTATTTGTCCCTCGCGCGAGATGAGAGCGGAATATAAGAACGCGCGACGTAGACGGATCACCGGCATTTAAAAAAGCGCAAAATTACCGTACCTGCACGCGTTGCAACTTCGATACGATAAATCGTTTTTATTTACGAATAAAGACATCGACGCGCGATCAATCGCGCCAACTTTTTCGAATATTATTCGACGACGATGTGCAGGGCACACGTCTCTTCCCTCTCCTTTCTTTCTCTATCCCATAAATACACGTGCTCGTGAAAAAGAAAAACGTTCCACACTTACAGCGTCGCTTATTTATGTTCACACCCTACGGGATGTGCACGTAAACCGAGGCTTAAAGCCCCGACTTTAAATCGAAACACCAGCTTTAAGCGGAGCTTTGCGACGCAAAAAAAAAAAGAAAAGGCCCAGATGATATCTCAACCGTACGCAATCGTTATTATGCGTTCCGTCGCTCGTGAACCTATACGACGAGTGCAGATATCATTGAGAGCGTAATGGTATACCCAAGATGACGTTCATGCATTTAAAATAATCTTGGGTTCCATATTTTCTAGCGCATAGAAACATTTCCGTTACGAGCAAAATATATAACATTTGAATTATGTATTTAATACTTGAATTATTTATTTAATATGTTTAATTCACTATTTAATTTTCTTCAATAATGTATTTTTCAAATATTCTTGCCTAAAAAAAGATTCATTTTCTTTAGGAAAGTAAATTATAAATCTTTTTAATAAATTATATACATTTTTACATATATATATTTTTTTTTTTCTAGAACGCAACGCGACAACATCCATTATTTTCACTGCATTTTGACGTCGAGTAAATAACATTGCCTCGCGTATAATGACGTATACAAGAATGACGCATGGGACAACGTGTGGAAATTATTTCATTCAAATTAAAATACCCAGGGATATAACTACTACCGGATGATATAGCGCAGTTTTACTATAATGTAATTTTATTATACCATTGGTAGTAAAGGGGAGCTAACCGCTCGTAATTCCGGACGGCGTCGACGTCTTTCCCAGGACGTTATCCACTACCGCTGGCGAACTATGAATTTTAAAAGCAGCCCCCTTTTCCTTCTCCCTCTCGCCGTTTCGTAACTAGCGAGTCGCGAATGGCGAGGCGCGAGATTCCAGAAAATCGAATACCATCAGAGTTCCGAAATAATAGGAATCGCCCCGAAGGCTCGGACAAATTTGACTTGCAACGAAAAACATTCATTCGACGCCAGAGAAATGGCGTAACGGTTTTTTTTGCAAAACAACGGAGGAGAATTAATGTATTCGGACGATTCGATTGCCGTCTGACTCTCGTGCGTTCGTTCTACTTACGACGGATAATCCCTTGAAATTACAGTTTAGAAAAGTTATCGAGAAATTTGAGGTATTTAAAATTATATTTAATTAAAAAATACATGACATGCGCTTTAGTTTTTAAGTTGAAATTATAGGCTTTTTAAGATTAATTCAAGAAGCGATCGGTTTCAAATTAATCAATGAGGTTATATTGATAATAGAGAGCCTGAGAGAAATTCGACACATTTAATTTATTTATGTAAAAGACGCGACGACTCGACATAATGCAGATTCTAGACTCGGAAACACATTATTGCTGAATTTATGCAACAGTAATTTAACGTTTCGTATATATAACGTATACGTAAATCGACGAATTGTAACTTGGTTACGCAACAGCGCACCGGCTCCGTGCTAAAATTTGCACGGCGAAGTACATTCAAGTGAATTTGCGAGCGTGCAACCCAGTTGTGAAATTTCATGTCTACCGGCTTAATTAAAGCGGTGTTATGTACCGGTCCGGTGTACATACAGTGACGAATGGCATGTTTCCGAAAGAAATACGAGAGAAAGAAAGATCGAGAGAAAAATCGGGAGAGAAAAAGAGAGAGAGCTCATTTAATGCCCGCATAAAACCACCCATATGTGCATTTCGTTGCGAGATGCAATCGTTAAAACGTTATTACCGATTTTTGCGCGGCTCTCACGGCGAAGTCACTACACGATGAGGAAACACATTCACTGGGGCAGGTTAATGAAATTGATGGCAAAGTTCTGTTCGCTGGGACTTTGCCTCGTGGAATTATCGTGAAGATGGTGAATAGTCTTGAAGCCGCATAAAGATTCGTGCCATCAGGCTGCATATTGTACCACGCAATTCAAATAAAAGTTTCGGCTTTCCGTCAGCTTCTATTCCCTCACTTCTGTACACAAGAAGTATAGTGACTTAATAACTCGAGTTGAACTCGGGTTTCTATCTTTTATTTGTAACAGCGGATTTCAACTTATGTAAACCACTTTATATTTGAAGAAGAAAATGTTGGAGTTGCATTTCACTTACAAATCGACATTTTTGCCTGTATAAAATATCCGGAATTTTGTCCTTAACGAAAATTATCAAAGTTATAAGAATGTCAAAAAAAAAAAAAAAATGAAAAAAAAGACAATTTAATTTCTCATTTTTTACTTACAATTAGATTTAAATTCTGCAACGTCGGCGATTTATTAGTAGTTTGGTGACAATCCGGAGTATCATATTAAATGATAAAAGGCACGACCAAAATGATATTGGGATCTCTATTGCAAATAGCCACAATTTTGCGGAATAGCGATGGTCGTCGGCGATCGATACAACATGCGGTGCACCTATATCGGGAAACGTTGACTGAGTTGCAGCGGACCTTCGTAATTTTCGACAGGAGTTTGCAGAACACGTGGAGCGAACTAATTCGATTATGGACAATCTGACCGCGCCGAGGGAAAATTTAAAGTTCACTCGAAGCAGCGAGCACGCGATGCTGTAATTGGCGATTCCGTTATTATTTCATTAGCGTAATGCGTGTAACAATGTAAATTAGCGGCACGTAACGCGAAACGTCGGCGCAACACCAAGATTTATCGCTAAATCGCCAAGAATTGGATGATCGTGATTTATGACATTTTAATTACACGCGCCGTGCGCGCGTACACTGCACGATATCGTCATGCATACGTTTGCAACGTAATCAAATAAAGAACGAATGTCAATTTTGCCGTGTTAAATCCAAATTCAGTCCGGGTAACTCGTATCGCGCATGATGATAACGTAAATTGATATACCGCGCGCGCACGTCGACGAGATACACGTACAATGATGCTGCGTACATGTCACGAACACACCAGATCAGAGTTTATTTAATCTCGAGCCCGCATCCTGTTAATTTTCAGTGGGTAATT